TTTGTTTTTTATATTTGTGAAACCTTCTCAAAGCTTTGCCAATTGTTGTGATTGGAAATTCTTTATTGTGGACTTTGTCCAAACAAATTTCATCTAAAATATGCTGCTATTCTTGTGTTGGTGCGATAAATTTATATAATCATTTTGGCTGGAGAATTTGTGAATTTGTCTGATAAACACAGGTTCATTTATGATTATCAACTGGATAGACTAGTATACAGCAACAAAACTATGTTGAGTTCAGAACTATGTTGGAAGAGTAGTCTGGAGGGGCTGGAAAGCTTTTGAGTTCAGAACTATGTTGTGTGAAATTATGATATCTTCACCCAAATTTTTGAAATATTGCTTCCAAGTACCCATTAAGGTCAAAAACCGAGAGTGAGACCGTTGAGGTCGAAAACCGAGAGTCGAGACCGCTGACCGAAGTCTTAAATTTGAAAGTTTGAATTTACGTCTGTTGTGTTTCGATCACCATGTTTGAGTTCCCTTATACCACCTCGTCCTATCGCCCCTCAATTCAAAGTTTAAAATTCAAGCCTGTTGTATATTCTTTGAAAAATAAATCAACGACCAACCTGCTCGAGCAATAAAAACATACTCGACCCGCCACTGAGGTCAAAAAATAAATTTGACGGACTCATAATCAACATAAAATGCGATCGACCTGCTTGAGCCGCAGTGAATCCCATCTCCGCCTTTCGAGTCGAAAAATCAATTCAACAGAAGCATAATCAGATAAAACACAATCAACATGCTCGAGCGATAATGAATATACTCGACCTTCCACCGATGTCAAAATACAATTTCGATAAAATCAAGCAAGAATCAACATCAACCTGCTCGAACGATAATGAATATACTCGACCTTTCACCAAGGTTGAAATACAATTTCGATAAAATCAAGCAAGAATCAACATCAACCTGCTCGGTAATAGGAAGATCATGGGCAAAAATGGGGTTTCCTGGGAAATTTGTTCAGTGGGTGATTAGCTGCATTTCTTCTCCTACCTTTTCTTTCAATCTCAAGGGGAGAGTGCGTGGATATGTGACTGCATCTAGAGGCATAAGGCAGGGTGACCCCTTGTCACCTTACCTTTTTATCTTGGTGTTTGAAGTTTTTTCTGCCTATCTAAAGTCCAAGATCAGTGTTGGGCTGTTTTGTGGGATTAAACTTTCTAAAGATGGGCTTGTTCTCTCTCATTTGCTGTTTGTTGACGATGCCCTTATTTTTTGCAAAGCCAATGCTAACCATGCTGAGTTACTTCTGGACATGCTTCAGAAGTATCAAATCTTAATGGGCAAAAGGTCAATCTTCATAAATCTTCTATGCTTTTAAGCAAGAATGGGTCTGAGAATCTGCAGGCTTCATTATCTAATATCCTTCATGGGGTGGTTGTTAAGAGGTCATCCAGATATCTGGGTTTACCTCTAGAGATTGGAGCTTCCAAAATTGATACTTTCCAGTTTGTGGTGGATGCTGTGAGGGAGAGGATCTGTAGCTGGAAAAATACTTTCTTATCATCTGCTGGTAAAAAAACCTTGGTGAAGGCAGTGCTTTGTGCCCTACCTGTTTTTGTGATGTCCTGCTTCATTCTACCAGTGAAGTTGTATAAGGAAGTTTGCAGACTTGTGTCTAACTTTTGGTAGAATAAAGGAGATGCACAGAAGAAGAGTTTTACACAGGTGTTCTTGGGACAAGTTGACTACTCCCAAAGAGGATGGGAGATTGGGGTTCCTGGATTTGCAATTTTTCAATAAAGCTCTGATTCTTAAGCTGCTATGGAGGATTATTGAACAACCAGACATCCTCATGTGCAGAGTGTTGAGAGGCAGATATTTCAAAAATTGCTCTATCTTTGACTGGAAGAATACTTGGGTTGCCTCTTGGCTTTTGAATTCTTGGGCTTCCCTATTGTCTGATCTTCAGAAGCAGGTAAACATTATTGTCAGAAATGGGCAGACCACTAGAATCAATGAGGCCAACTGGGTTCCAGGGCTAGCTTGCAGAAAATCGAATTTGAGGGTGGATGTGGATGGTAATATATTCTGGGTGAAGGACTTGCTATTGGCTGATTGAGTGCAGTAGGGTTCAAATCTTATTAGAGTTTTGTTTGCGGAAGATGATGCTGAGAAAATTCTACTGATTAAATCATTAAACCCCAGAGTACCTGATCAATGGCAGTGCTCTTCAGTGTTGAAGGGAATGTTCTCAGTGAAGAGAGCTTACTCAAATTTTTTAGCTGTCAAGCTGGGGCAAAGATCAGTGGCTGAATCTAGTTTCATGGCTAGCAAGAACAGGAAAGCAAGGAAAAGATGCTGGAGTCTCAAAGTTATGGGAAAGGTGAAATTTTTTGTTTGGCAGTGTTCTTCTAACTTCCTTCCTGTTAGCAGTAATTTGCAAGCTAGAGGGATGGATGTTGAGACTATTTGTAGGGTATGTGGGGATGAGTAGAAAACACAAGAACATTGTTTGTTCTTGTGTAGGAGGGCCAGAACTGTTTGGAAAATCTCACCAGTTAACTAGAATAGAGTACAGAAGGATCAATTATCTTTGAAACAATGGTGGTGATGGGTGAGTGATATGGCTACTGAGGTTTGTGCTGAGGACAGAATCCAGCTCTCCACATATATATTATGGTGGCTGTGGAGAGCTAGAAACCTGTGGGTGTTTGAGGGTATATGGCTAGAGGAAAGCTGGATCATCAAATCTGCATTGATAGACTGGCTGGACTTCAAGAAGAGCAATATCACTGGCCTATAGAGGAGCAAACTAGATAAGTTAGGTCTTGTGTCAGTTATTTA